AACACACATGTGCATATTAAATTGACACGCACTAGAGTCTCACTCTAGTGATATGAAAAACATATTCCACGACTACTGCATATCACCGCGAATATCGCGTTTTTCACAGAGTATTTCGCCACTTTACGTAAAACGGGTTGTGAAACTCCATCGAAGGAACTTCATTAAGGGTTGGCGGAAACCACCGAGAATAGTTGTAGTCCTCAGGTGTTAACTCGAGGGTTTCCAGCGGAGTGGGCAACATATCTTAACTATTGCAGAGCGTTACGGTTCGAGGACAGGCCGGATTATGCCTACATTCGGAGAATATTTAAGGATTTGTTCATGCGGCAAGGTAATATTTCTGCAAAAAAAGGGAAAATAGGAAAAGAAAAAAAATGAAAAAACAGAAAAAAAATTAAAAAAAATGAAAAAAAATGAAAAAAATGAAGAAAACAAAAAAAGGAAAAAAGGCCATTGTGTAATTGGTATCACTTCGATCACTGCTATTAGTCATGCTGTGTTCGTGGATATGTTATTTACATTACTGTGCTATTATCCTATCATCACTTGGCTAGGTCAGCCGCTATACAATTACAAGTAGACCTTACAAACTCCATAAAGGCCTTGCGCAATGTTGGAGTCGCCAATTTTTCAAATTTTGCGAAATTAATATTTTTTTTGCCGGGTTTTCGGAATTTCCGTTTTCATTGCCTTTCGTCATGTCAGGATTCCAAAATGATGGAATTTTCGATTGGATGCAGTTGAACAACTCTGGGAATTCTCGGGGAGTAAGGATGACCAACCAGGGCTCGATGGTAGCAGCACTTGGCGTGGTATGGGAAACAGGGACAATATTATAATGATCGGGGTTTGCGGACTTCATTCGAATATGGGAAAAATTTCGGTTATTCGTGTTGGTGACAATGAGGAAATTTCAGGATTTCTTGTTGTTTTCTGCATATTCCTGTCCCAAGTCGTGTGTGAATTTTTATATTGTAAGAGTGGGAAAATGTGCATATGGTCAACCATATGTGTTGGTGACAATATGGAAATGCTGAGGAAATTTGGGGAGATTTTCGTTGGTTTCTGTACATCTCTACTAGAAGTTGTATAAAGACTTCTATAAGGAAGCTCCTAATCTCAGCTGAGAACAGCGAACATATATTCATACTCCAACACCGTTGTGAATAGGGAACCCCCGAGCTCAGCTGAGGAAACCAGGTATATAGTTGTACAGTGTTACCTGTAGGATTGGAGCACATTTTCGCATCCCTCAGCTGAGCTCAGGAGTTTCTCAATTATTGCATTTTACAGACGAACTCGGGTAGAAGTGTACAGAAAACAAGAATAATTTTCGGGAAATTCATCATAATTTTTTTCATATTGTGCGTATTTTCCCACTCCCTTACTTTGCAGTGGTTTTTTATCATCAGGTTGATAAGCGAGGATTGGTCGAACCACGCAGACGGAATCATACGAGGTGAGGACCCTGGGCTCCTGATATTGGTCGTAGATCTTACTTTTCATCAGGGAGGACGGTACTGGGATGGCCATCGGAGGAGAAGGTAATATTTACAGCGTTTTAGAGGAGTTTCATCCGTTTAACATGAAGTGGCGTAATACTTTGTGTACACTAATGGGCGTATTATTTCTGCAACCGTAAGTGAATTGTGAAATCTGGTGACACTCCAATGCTTCGCCAAATTGGAGCGGATTAGTAAATGTGTCTTGAAGTATGAAAATATGAGGGCCTTATTATCTCTTGTAAGAAGTCGAACTTCTTAACGCGAAGTGATTTACGTTAAAACTTAACCGCTTGAAAACGAGATCGATTACGTAGGAGTTGGTGAATAATAATATGTGCGCGCGTACATCTTTTGTAAAGATATAGTGTCTAGGAGAGCCTACTCAGAGGGTAATACGACATAGTAGATTGATGGTTTGATTTGATGGTGAGATTTCACATACAGTGTTGAGTGCCAATTTGATACTATGCAGATGTGAAGAATGTGCATTTTCTATTCCGGGATTAATGATAGTGAACAACTTGTCACTATCATAGTCTCGAAAGGTTACTTTTATCACATCACATGTTCATAGCAATGTTTACATTGTTTATGCGATATAGTTTCAGATCTCGGAGAATAACACACATTTGCATCATATCAAATTGCCACGCGCCGTATGTGTGCGGTCTCCCCCTGATTATCAAACCCTCATGTTTTCAGATCCAGGGAACTTCAATGCAGATGGACGACAAGTTGATCGGTAGTTACTCTTGTGAATGTACTTTATGTAAATGACTATGTTTTCAGAATGCATCAAACGAGTCGGGGTAAATCTGCGGGGAAAACTGTTGTTGTTCTTTAGCTGTTCTCAGGTCGCCGGGCAAAACCAAATTTTTTGGAAAGGTTTTTCGGTTCAGTGTGTGGACGTAAAACTGAAATCGATTAAGTTCCTGTTATTATCATTGCAGTATTTAAGCTCTCCGGAGACGATGACTACGATGGTCGTTGATCGTATTGGAATATTCTATTCATCGTTTTACGTGAAGTGCCGTACAACTTGGTGAAAAACGCGGCGATATTCGCGCTAAGCAGTAGTCGTGGAATGTATTTCTCACTAGTGTTTTTCATATCACTAGGGTGGTGAAACTCCATTGTTTTTCTGTAAAGTAACAGAAGGAGTTGTTGTACAGTATAGTTTGTTCGTGACAGTAGTAGTAATAATGATATGCAATGACCGTTTATGGTCTACGTGATGATGTTGTTTACATTGAAACTTGCATGATATCTCTCTCGATCGTTACCATTGTGAAAATGTTGCATCATTGGTCGCGTATGCCTACTATTAATCGCAGTGCTTTTTACTTGGAAAGTTATTGCGTATATATAAACGTGAGAACAGTCGTTGTGTTATAGTAGTGGTCAGATGAGTATTGGAGGAATATATGTTTGGTTTTCTCAGTTGAGCTCAGGAGTGAACACAGTGTTGGAGTAGGAATATATGTTCGCTTTCCTCAGTTGAGCTCAGGAGTGAGCACAGTGTTGGAGTAGGAATATATGTTCGCTTTCCTCAGCTGAGCTCAGGAGTGAACACAGTGTTGGAGTAGGAATATATGTTTGCTTTCCTCAGTTGAGCTCAGGAGTGAACACAGTGTTGGAGTAGGAATATATGTTCGCTTTCCTCAGCTGAGCTCAGGAGCTTCCTCACTAATCATGGAAGTTTATATACGAATTCGGGTAGAAGTGTTCAAAAACCAGCAAGAAATTCCCAAAATTTCCCCAGAATTTTCATATTGTCATCACCAACACTTGTAGTTGAACATGTGCATGTTTTCCCTCCCACACTAGGTGACCTAGTCTAGGTCGCAGCAGACTTGTTCTGTCACTAATGTTTATATCGAGATGGCATTATGGAAATGATGATGGCGATCCTTTTTATACTCACGTTGTCCAAGTATGAGCAAAAGAGCCGCGGTTGAGTTCAGCAGATGGTCGGGGGAATCATATCCGTTACGGATAATCCGTAGATGAACAATTTGTGAGTATTCACCACAAGAATAATTGCAGTATTGGCTAGTAAACGGATGGAGACAAATTGCCGAGGAAGCTCGGGGTCACAGAGGATCGGCAGAAGAAGTATGCCTTTTCAAAGTGTCCGTCGATTCTATGTTTTATAAAATTGTGTAGTGAGTCACCTGTGTGTCACTTAAGTGAAGTCACTTTAGGTGAGCTCAGAGTAGGCCAAGGCTTCAAGTCGAATCACCCTACGCATGATTTTGGAAGACTGCCGAATTGCAGTGTAAATGGATTTTGTTATGATGAGAGAATCGTGGTGAAAGTAAATAATAGAAAATTATCTATTTATTTTTAGAAATATTTCTCGTCTGTTATACCACACTTCTGTGAACAGATCATTCTTCGTAAGAAGAGGGTTCAGTGCGTGTTTGCATGACTGGTTTATTTATTCCGACTGTGGCCACTATTTGAAGTTGTGTTTGGTAATATTATCATAATTCATACCGCACCTTTCGTAGTAACTTGCCTCTTTTTCCATGCAGGCTCACGCTGATGAGAAGTGGTGGGTTAGACCACTCGCTGGAGCTCTTGCTAGCCAAACTGCTGATTTTTTCACGTACATCATTGCATTAAGAGTGTTCACAGTGTTGAAGTAGATATCCCATCGACACTTCGAAAACTCGACTGCAGCTTTCCGGGGAGGCTGGAGGAGTCAAACGTTATCATGGAATGGCTGATGCGATAAAAAAGGTCGATCTTGATCGCTAATTTCGTTGTTATGTATTTTCTCTATGGAGCTAAGGCAAATTTTTGAGACTAAATCTTTGAGAGTTTTGGAATTTTCGACACGATACGTGTCAATTTGATATGATGCAAATGTGTGTTATTTTCCGAGATCAGAAACTATGTCGCATAAACAATGTAAACATTGCTATGCACATGTGATGTGATAAAAGTAACCTTTCGAGACCATGATAGCGACAAGTTGTTCACTATCATTAATCCCGGAATAGAAAACGCACATTATTCACATCTGCATAGTATCAAATTGCCAAGCACTATATTAAGAACTCCGTGTAGTTAATCTCAACTCCTTCATCTGTTTCCCTTTGCGTCGAAATTTGAAGTGGTTCTCCTTCCTCCCGAATTCATCATTGCCACGACTGTATCAAGTGGGCACTAAGCCCTGTAGTGGTATCTTTTCACAAACGGCAATATCCCCTCTCTGTAGGTTTATCAAAACGAAGGCACTTCTGGTTTGTACAAGGGCTTCTCAGCAGCTCTAGTGCGACAAGGTCTATACAGGGGTCTTGTTTTTGCACTATACGAACCCCTGAGAGACGAGACCTGCAAGCTACTCGGCGAAGACAGTAAGTGCTTGATTTCAGGAGTTGCCAAAGCTATATTATTGGAATTCTCACACGGTTTAGGGCAGGAGTGTACAGAAATCAATGAGAATTTCTCGAATGGTTGATCATGTGCAAATCCACACTGTTATCGGTACGTCGATCCAGTGTTGGAATATATGTTTGTTTTCCTCAGCTGAGTTAAGAAGTTTCCTCACTAGGTATAGTAGTTCCACACGAATTTACCAGAAACGTGTAAAATCGTTTCCCATACTTCTTCAATTGGTCAGAATTCGTGACATCGTACGAAGCGCTAGTATGCATATATCTTCACCAAGGAGAGAGTTGTTGTTCCTGTGCAGTGTTGGCATATATTTGCTTTCCTCAGCTGAGCTTGGGCGTTTCCTTACTTATTGTATGTGTACTAGAGTAGGACTGTTCAAGAACCAATAAGAAATTCCTCGAAATTTTCATATTCTCACCAACACATGCAGTTGACCATGTGCATATTTTTCCACACACAACGTATCGGCTTCCGATTGATCGTGAAAAACCTAAACCATTTCGGCGCTTCTAACAATTTTACAGACGATTTTCTTGGATTTTTTCAGAATCATCAGCGTCTCTGAAAGTGAAGATTCTCGCAGGAGGAGTCGGTGGTATTCTCGGCTCAGCTTTGATCAACCCCGTAGATGTTATAAAGGTGAGCACTTCTGTCCGATGAAAACCAATTTCATTTCGCGGCAGGTCAGAATGCAAGGCGATTTGAAACTGGGAGCTGAAAGGCGTTATCGAAACGTTTTTGATGGACTTTTCAAAATGTATAAAAGCGAAGGCATGCGGGGAATCAGGTTGGTCACTCGAAAGTACAGTACGTGCCAATTTGATACTATGCAAATGTGGAGAATGTGCGTTTTCTATTCCGAGATTAATGATAGTGATCAACTTGTCGCTATCATATTCTCGAAAGGTTACTTTTATCGCATCACCTGTTCATAGTTTCAGATTGATTCTCATTATCTCGGAAAATAACGCGGAACATTTTTCACATTTTCGTATCAAATTGGCACGCACTGTAATGAATTGATGGAAAAATTTTCTTCAGTGTTGGGGTCATCCCGAATATGCAACGTGCATTTTTGGTGAACGCGGCTGAGTTGGCGACCTATGATCAATGCAAGGAAGAAATCGTTAAAATTTTCGGCGATAATACGTTCAGGTGAGTAAAAGTGGGTGAATTATTCCGCTTCGGTTGAACGATTATTCAGTTATTTCGTTTCTTCGATGATCGCTGGTCTCGTCGCAGCCGTTGTGAGCACACCTGTTGACGTAGCGAAGACTCGTCTCATGAACCAAGATCTTACAAAGGGAAGGTAAGTATTCGTACACCATCAAAAACAGTGTTGAAAAAAGAGGAATATATGCTCGCTTTCCTCAGCTGAGCTCAGGAGCTTTTTCACTAATTATACGAACTTGGGTAGAACGGTATAGAAATGAGCAAAATTTTCCTCCAAATTTCCATATTGTCACCAACTTATGTAGTTGACCATGTGCACTGGTATCATCAACCTCAGAGTGTACCGTGGCTTGACCGATTGCTTATTGAAGACGGTGAAGTCGGAAGGTCTGTTTGCCGTATATAAAGGCTTCATCCCGAACTGGGTAAGACTTCCATGATATTAGTGCAGTCTCTCTCTCCTCTTCATTTCATGCCTTGAAATTTTTCACCCGAATTTCAATAATTTACTTGATTGCATATGAAGATCTATCAATTCCTTGTATTTCGACAAATGCTGTTTTTTTTGTCGGTATGTTTTTATAATGGTCATGTGCTATTTTATTGGATCATTGCATAGATTCTTGACAAACTTTCAGGAAGAAACTCAGAAAAGGGCATTTTTTTCCAAGAGAATTATTGAAAACAGTCGTTAAAGAATGAGAGAAGTGCATTTTTTGCGAGAGAAGTGATCGAATTATTCAAACCAGTCCGTATAAAAGGTCCTTCTCCAAGAGAAGTTATGGAAACCAGTCGGTCAAAGAGTAGATAAAAGCTGGAAAATGAAAAAATATTTTTCCGAAAGCAAGTGGGAAAATTATTGAAGATTTGGGCAAAACAATTAAATTTCCTGAAAAGACTATAGCCCCGTCTTCTCTACCATATCGCTGATATCGTGTATGAGGACGATAATACTGCAAGTTTCCATTTCCAGGTTCGTATTGGTCCGTACACAACCATCGCATTCGTGGCCTTTGAAGAGTACCGCAAACAAGCAGTAAGGTTATCATCGTGAAAAACATTACTCAATGAATTTTGACTCCGCTTCGGTTCTGCTGTATTTCCTTATTATTTCTATTTTCCGGCATAAGCTCTCGAGTGGGATAGCGTCCTACTTTGGTTTGCAAGTGTCTCTATGATCAACTATGGCGTTGTTGAGGAGTGTTGTGAAAAATATGGGAAATTATCGGTGTGCGAGAATACGCGCATGATCAACTACCTGTGTTGGTGATAATACGGAAGTTCTGAGGAACTTTCCGCAGATTCTTATTGGTTTTTGTAGACTTCTAGCCGAATTCGAAACCCCCGAGCTCAGCTGAGAAAAGGGAACATATATTCCAACACGGGGGCTTCTCGCTAAACACCATCTCGGTTGGCATCCAATACGCTCACACACTCTGGCATCGGGCACGCCAAAGCATGTATTCATTTGAAACAGTAGGGGGCATACAAAGAGACTGCGGTGTGCAAGGGCGAGCCTTTACAACAACAGAATACGCGAACAACGGTCTGTCCTGCGTGGCATCGCACTGGGCCGTCGTATTTTCCTTCTTGGACGTATATGCGGGCTCTACCCCTACGGCCTGACATTCCTTCAACATTTAGTATGAGAGCTCACTACTATGGCGTTGTGCTTGGCATGATGATGATGATATCAGGTTTTTTGTAAGCTTGTTGTGACTGCATGGTGTGAGGGTTTTCCGCTGGGACTTCACGACTATTCTTCTCTCTAGGGATTTCGTGCATGAATAGCAACCTTGGTAATCAGCCAATCTTCTCGTTGTGATTGGGACATGTCAAACGCTGCTGCTGCCGCCACACCGATGAGCTCACCTTCCAAAATTCGAAACAAACCTGGTGAACTTTACAGCTGACGAGATCGATGCTCTCAACGCCTCCAATGATCAGGTCGTTTCAGCGCTCGACCGTCGCTCAGTCCCTCTAGAATGCATCGAGGGCGCGGAGAACTGTCCATGGACAGTACAGTGGCAGGGATGGACACCATGGAGCGTTCGTTAGCGGTGTAACCTTGGAATGAGTATACATCTTGGAAATATTGTGATTGACGAAATTTGTTAAAACAACGACATCATTCATTTCGTTAAGACATTTGGGTGTAGAACGTGCGTGACCATCTGTTGGAGTAGGAATATCCGTCCGCTTTGAGTTCCCTCACTACTTATAGGAGTTCGGGTAGAAATGTACAGAAAACGATAAAATTCATCACCAACTAACGTACTTGACCATATGCATATTTTTCCCCCTCTCGCAGGGAGCCCGAGGTTAATCGAATCGCCTTGTCCGCTCGTACCGACTCTCATCAGCGTCAACCAGAGTGAGCATGTTCCCCTATACCACTCTTGTAAAACGACACAGATTTCCACAAAACATGTACGAGAGATCTGAAGAAAGGAATACAACAGAACGAGAAAATGAAAACGAACTTGGACGGTGAGGAGATCATTCTTAAGGTGGCCGACTTTTATCAGGCATGAGACCTTGATCGCACGGCTAAGGCGTCGAGACGGACAACAGAGGGAACACTCACTACGAGAACCCGTACAGGAAGACTCGCAGGTGGGCTCTGGATTTCTGCTTTTTCATGGTGGTTTAATATCAGAGGAAGGGAGCTCATGTAGCCATGATCAGACAGCTGCGAGCGAAACTCGATAAAGAAGGTAAGAGCGGTAAATCTTTGTATGAATATTGTTTTTAGCGGAGCGAAGGATCGATCTGAAGATATCTCGAGGGGAATTCAATGCAGTGGTGACACTAAAGAGAGTTGAGCCAGTTTGTTTTGTGCATCTTCGTCGCAGCCTGAAGAATCGGGAAATCCTGTCGAGTCGTATTCCGGGAAAGTCATACGCTCAGCTCCATCAGGACATAAGCGACGACTGAAGCCGCAGGTAGGGGCTCCCATCCCCATCATCATCATCATCATCATCATCATCATCATCATCATCATCATCATCATCATTTTCTCCCCGTAGCCATCACCTCGGCGAAATCCGCGCAATAAGTCGAAATTTCTGCGCAGAAGGCCTATGTTCAACCGCACGCCAGTAAGTCCGTACGTGGGAGTCGTAGAGTGGTGTTCGTTATTCAGATTATACCCAACCTCCTTGATGGAGCTGATCTCACTGCTGAGCTCCCAAGGCTCTTTCCTGGTCTGAGAGGTGAGTATTCTATCCTACAATAATCGCGCGCGCCATCCTAATCGATTAAGACGACTTTCAATGAGCATTCATCCACCTGGCACCTATACATCAAAGTCGCTCAGTCCAGTCTATGTGAAGAAGTCTTCCTTGTTCAGGTCATCAGGGAGGCCTCCGTATCCTGCTGCGACCGGAAACCTCTACAACAGTTGATGCAAGGGACGAAAATGGTGAATCCAACGACTACAATCCGCTCTCGGGCGGCGATGGATCGATAGCGGAAGTGGCAGCGACGGCTAAGCGTAGAGAAATTTTCGGAAGCGTTCACAGGAACATAATGATGCAGCTTGGGGATGAGATGCGACGGTAACATGAAGAAATCCGAGTTAAAATGTGACTCTACTGGACAGGTACAAGACCGAATTGCAACACCGCCTCAATAACATTATGCGAGTTCTAGAGAGCGAACGGAGCCCGAGAAATCAATATTCTCCCACGTCAACGGCTCGGGGCGCAGCGAGGCCGTCCTTTCTGTATTCTCACATCCCACCCATGACCGCTAGGTTTTGAATGATCGTGATGAGTGTATGCTTTGATGTTGTTGAGTTCCCTAGTGATTGTGTGAGTTCAAAGTCCAACGCCGACAACACGGCTTAGTTGAACTCGCATCGATGCACATTAGCTCACGAGGGAGCAGTTCTAGCCTATTAAATTGGCTCGTTCATCACGCCAAGAAATGCTGCTCACAGGGCGAGGTAACCACGGCCTAGACACTTACCTTTCCTCTCGGATTCTGTGACTGGGGCAAAGAAATATATTGACTTTTTTCTTTATTATGACGGATTTTATATCACATCGGTTATCATTTTCTTTCTCTCGTTCAGTCTGGGGAGAATACACACATGTGACGATGAAGATATGAAAAAACCGAGGAAATGTTGGTTTCCGAACATGAATTCGTATAAGCTTCTACTAATGAGGAAACTCCTGGGCTCAGCTGAGGAAAGCGAACATATATTCCTCCACCACTGCTCTCGTTAAACGTCTGTACATATTCGTAACACAACCCCACAGTGTCGAATACAGTCATTAAGTGAACCTCTCTGATGTTAATAAATGTGAGATTATCAGCTCTTCTCCGAACTGTTTATTATAAATAGCTAGACTGACGATTCCGACAATCCAACATGACAATATGACAACCTTGAATATTCTTGGAATGGGAAAGCAATTGCAACCCAGAAATAATGATAACAGCAACCTGGATATCCAACGTCAGAACGAACTCGAGGGGAAATGTCAACTTACCCGATTGTTGTAGCAGTGACACTATGAACTACAAGTCGGGGCACCATGGGGGACAGTATTAAAAAGGTCAAATATGTTGGTATTCCTGGCTGCACCCACCTGAGAACTCCGCAGATTCCTATTTTCACTATCCACCTTATAATAATATTATTATGTATGATATGCATTGCAATACATTAAATGGATGCGAGAATCTCGTTGTCTACCGCAGTCATCTATTCCTGATGATCTTCAGACCAGCTCTCGCCGTGCGTCCAACACACATAAAATATATCAATAGTTAGAATGGAATATTCCTTTATGAAATATCCATATGATAGAAAGACAATATATTAGTATTAGATATATCATAAAGTATGATACATAGCATTGCATAGCTCACCTCCAACAACGATCCCATCCACTCCGACTCTCTGGTTCTTCCTCTTCTCGATGCGCTCGGAAATCAGCGGGCAATTTCGGACCAGCCTGACAAAACAAAATAGGAATATGATATTCCTATGATTATCCATATTCCTAATATTAATATGAATCATATTCCGAATATCCAAGTGCATTACACGTCTTACCTGACTTGATACAATCTCTTTCGCTTCTGAAGCTGCAACTTTCATGACCCCAGTGATCCCACGACTTCGAATCTCGCCAGCCAGATCGGCTAAGGCGAGTATTTCATCTCTTGCGAAGTCGCCAAGTCTCGTCACTGAGCTCAACGTAGATGCATCATCACCACCGGAATCTCTACGATCGTAGGCGGCGGAGTAGTTCACATTGGGAGTGCTTGGCGCCTCATAATTTTGCATCCATGCGAAGTCTTCATCCCCCTGTCCCGGAGTGGCCTCTTCTGAACCAGAAATTCACATACAAATTCGGGTAGAAGTGTACAGAAACCACGTCCCTCAGACACATGCAGTTGACCGTGTGCATATACTCACTGCCTTTGAGACTCGCGTGTGAGGTCTTATTCTTGGAAATCAAGTCAGCAACCCCTACCTGTTGTGTTGCATATCATATCCGACCACCGTGCCGAACTCGCCGTTCATCCATGGGAAACTCGTCAACCCACACAGCTGGACAGCCTGAGGAGGAAAAACAATGAAGGCTGATACCAGCCAAGTCCCCACTTCTCCTTCTGCTGGCCATTCTTGATCGAGAAATGCATCCTCTGACCTCGGGCCTGCCTCCAAGTCTCGGACACTCACATCTACATCACTCGAAGATGAGCAGGATGAGAAGGAGGCGGTTGACAGTGACCGCGAACGTGGCGGTATGTGAAGCATTAGATACAACTATCAATCGATCTCAGCGCCACACCAAGGATGAGGATACGTAGGATCGATCATACGTCGAGTATCGTCTTTCCTCAGCGCATACTACTGAATATCACATCTAGTTCATAAGTGAAAAAACCAACCACGGGCGAGTCGGCATGTACGAGTGGCAAAGACATTTCACTTCCATCCACAACTTCGTGATGGACCTCCCAATTCTGCCCGTAGCTTCTCGTGTGATGAACCTCGTGCTAGTAGAGCTTTCAACTTCGCAAGTAGTAACCTCGAATTCGAGTTAGTGTGTTCAATTTTCATCACCACACTGCGCGACGTTCATTTTCATGACATAGAGAAGAACGATTTTCCTAATTCTTTACACCTAAACTTCAGCTCCTATTTGAGCTCATCTGTTGACTGGATAAACGTCTCACCCATGGCTCGTACAATCTACCATGTCGAACGTGTATAATTTTGTTTCCACTCGAAAAAAATTGAGCTCATTCGAAATCAGTGCTGACGTTGGATTCTGACCATCGCCCCCAAACTTCGCTCGGATTCCCATCTCGCGAACTACTAGTATCCATACACTGCGTAACACAACTCAGCGAACCGCATCGAGCGAGATCATCCATATTCGAAACAGATCGCAACGTATAGTCCCTCGTGTAATAGGAATAGTATTGAGTTCCAAATTTCCAGGCCATTTCCCTACTACTATCCAACACAACATCACAATTAAACTCTACCTCAGTGAGATCGCCAAGCAATGCAATCAATGCAACCTCAATGAGGTCTCATGCCACTACACGGTGTTGATCACACGTATTGCAGACTGTGTATGTGAATGTGAAGTCCAGGGTCGACAACATAGCATCAACTCACGATGGATCAGTTCACACCTATTCCACGGGGAGAAAGAAGCTCGAGGCACATAAGGCGGCTCCGACTGCCCATGCAACTACTTCTCCTAACTTCTTCTTACAAGGAAAACAACACCTCGTATGAGTCCTCCAGGACAGATCACAGCTTCTACAGAAAATGCTTTCTATGTGAACACTACTTCAAAAAATACGTTTGGTTTTCTCACCTGAGCTCAGGAATTTCCTCATTATATTTACACCCGACTAAGGTCAGTAAAAGTGTCCAAAGACCAGCGCGAATTCTGCCTACTGTCACCAGCACGAACGGCTGAATCTTCCATAATCGAATATTTTAATCTATCAATTTGACGTACCACTCCAAGGCCAACTCTCGCCATATAAAACACAACATACAGGCTCTTGCTCATCATCACTAGTTGATACACAGGCCCGAAAGACGATAACAATATTATGATAATACCAACACAATTGCTACCGCAACAAAACCTATGTAACTAGTGAGCCTCTCATACTCTCGACAAGGAGAGTAAAAGCGATCCAGAAATACGACGCAACCATAGGCTGCCTTTGCCAGAGTATATACATGTGAATGATAAAAGTGTACAAAATTCGAATATAAAACTGCTGATAATCAGTAAGACTATGTGAACGACTACTGAAACACAGTCATCCATCGACCGGGCGAACTTGAGCAAGACAATTAGGATTCACGATCATATGATACGAATGAGATAGCCTCGAGACCAAGGCGAAAATTTCTTCACACATAACCGGTGATCAAGACGGAAAAATCCCCCAATAACAGAAGAGCCACAGACGCAGCCCTTCCTATGTTCATCATCATACACAGTCCGTACGGAGCCGTGACACTTCAGAAGCACAAGGAACCTAAACCGCAATGATTTCTCTCATCTTATCATAAATTCCACACAAGCACTAACGCAAATTCACTATTCGACACGATGGTATGCTCCGTAAAATTGACATTCTTCACCCGACTTTGATAGACCTCGCCATTCGACGATTACTACCATCACAACAGGAATCGGAATCGAAAGTCAACGAAGATCAAAATATTCAACATAAATATGCATAGACGAACGCTCCATATCATTGCTATATTAAACGTCACACACGTCCCTTCACATGTGCTCTTCCGCGAAACCATACCCCGAAACAGCCAGAAAAAAGGTACGTAATTTTGCGATTTTTTTCCTACTATCTACGATTGTCCATCCCTACGTCCCCCCTATAAAATTTCGTTCAACAGACATCGAATTGACGCCAAAACCGCCGCATATCAACCAATGCATAAATACAAAATTTCACGAATTTTCTCCCAAGAAAATTGGTGTTAGCCATCACCCTAAAGCGATACCACGCTACTAATTTGACCCCAACCCCCCTATAGGACATCCCATTTTGTATTGCCTGCAAATATGACGTCCTCCTCAGAGATCCTTCGCTCTCACTGTTGCCAGAAACAGGATGACCAATCATATAGCAGAAGTTCGGCAGATATATAACCGTCAAAGTTGAATCGGACCAATAACACTCCCCATCCTGAAAATTTGTCAATAACTATAAAGCCGACGCGGAACCCCTACAATGCTATACGCAATTTTATGTTTATCAGCAATCTTCCCCTTAGGCTTCAACTCGACTCGCTGTACGCCATGCCTGCGATAAGGGACCAAGCTTCTCCTGAGATCTACCACTGTTATTCTCACTCAATATCAAAAGTGGGACGATGCCCCGTAGCATCCTTTAGAGCCGTTGACGATTTATGTAAACCAATCAGTGAAAAATAGTGTAGTAGCTGAACCTACCACAAATGAAAATTTCCCAGAAACTTCAACTAGGCTTCAAACTCACCTTATTGCGATTTGTAGTCAGGAACATACTCTCACTCCGCTTCAGCTCGTCACCGACGGAACAAGGGGCAAAATTCTTGGGCGGAGGATACTACACAATCAAAGACACATTTAGTTCTGATAGATATACGTCCCCGGGTGAGATAAAAATAAAGAGAATGCTACTAATTTGATGAAAATTTCATAGGAAACTGATCGGAGAAGATCGAAAACGAGTTCTCCCGGGAATATTATAGGTTTCTGGATGAATCCTTGTGGACAAAACCGCGCATTCACAGGCAAATCAGACCAACTCACGATGTGTTTATTATGAACATCTCGGAAGAGCTCAGGACTGACGATATCGTAGCTTCCCTTGTCGCTCCTAGTCTTCGTCACACTGCAACTACCAGTGAAATCGACATCAACGTCGTCGGTCGTGCTCAATTTTCCCGAAGTCGTATTGCTATCGCCACTCCTTCTAGAATCTTCCACCAGGCTCGAGCCCTTACTAGGTGATGAGCTATTCATATCATCCCTGAAAAAATTATGAAAAATTCCTAGCTAGTGAGCCTACAGATTATGAACGGTCTTGATATCAGCTTCGTAATCCGTCACCTTGGCACAGATAACACTGCGAGCGCCGCATACACCATATCTGCGATAAAACGTATGAGCGACAATATGTTTCCCAGTGCGGCTCACCTGGCAGTTCCCAGGAGATCCCTCCACCCACGAGCCTTCATATTCACGAAAGAGATAAAACCGAGGGACACTGAGAACAGCAAGTTAGAAGTCTCAGTGTAGGGGGGAAATGTGCACAAGATCAACTACATGTGTTGGTGGTGACAATGTGAAAATTCTAAGGATTTTTTTTGGAAAATTCTTGCTGATTTCTGTACACTTCTAACCTAATTCATATGTAAACCCCTTTCATTAGTGAGGAAGCTTCTGAGCTCAGCTGAGGAAAGCAAACATATATTCCTACTCCAACACTGTGTTCATTCCTGAGCTCAGCTGAGGAAAGCAAACATATATTCCTACTCCAACACTGTGTTCATTCCTGAGCTCAGCTGAGGAAAGCAAACATATATTCCTACTCCAACACTGTGTTCACTCCTGAGCTCAGCTGAGGAAAGCAAACATATATTCCTACTCCAACACTGTGTTCACTCCTGAGCTCAGCTGAGGAAAGGAAACATATATTCCTACTCCAACACTGTGTTCACTCCTGAGCTCAGCTGAGGAAAGGAAACATATGTTCATACTCCAACACTGTGTTCACTCCTGAGCTCAGCTGAATGAAGGCACACATATTCCTCCAACACTACGAACTCACCCATGCACGTTGCAATGATATCGATGGTCCCAGTCTCATTAACAACCTTCATCACGTCAAGTGGTCGATACGATCCTTTTGCAGAGTAAAACGATGCCGTGAGGGGGTTCGCAACGCCGCGGACTTCAGCCAGAGCATTAGCAGTGCCGCCAGGCAGCTGCCCCACAGGCACGAACCTAGCTCGTGGATCTGGATTCCTAGATAGACCATTGACAGCCTCATCTGAAAAGGCAATAATAGTAATTCCAAAAAAGCTGTACAAAAAGTCTTACCGACGGTACCGTCGCCACCAATAACAATGACCATTCTATAGCGGTCGACATCCAAACGCTCGCAATCTTCTTCTATGTGCATCCGGTGAGTCGTCTCTACTTTATCATACCTAACGACAGCACTCATAGACGAACACAGTCATGCTCATCCAGTGTGCAAAGAACATACTACTGAGGGAATTTTGAAATTTATTATTGTACACTCCTAACCGAATGTCTATAACTAGGAAGGAAACTCGAATGAGCTCAGCTGAGGAAAACGATCAACATGAAATCCTCCAACACTGTGCTCAACTCACTCGACATCGGCGATCGCAAACATGGGCTTCAAGAACTTGCGAAAGAGTTCCCTCGCAATCCTTTTTCCTCCATAAGGGTTCACGAAAACCAAGACCTTCCCAGCCGCTTGCTTTGCTCTCAAAGTCTCGTACCATTCAGTGCGAGCCTCGTCGCTCTCGAACGCCACTGAAAATGACAATGCACTGCTAACAAGGCATCATCCAGGAACCTATAATGTTTTCAAGACGACCTCATTTTGAATTTTCCGAATGGCGAGGAACACATTCATCGATCAGTTTCCCATGTAAATATCATCACACTAGGAATCGTTATTTCTCAAAGCCAAAGGCAAGTCTAAGAAGCCAAGACTTACATCTAACTTGCTTTAGTTCCCTCACAGAAGGCTCGAGGTACTGCTGAGGGCACACCCAAAAATCCAACCGGAATCTTCCAGCCTTCTCGTCCGCATTCTCGATCTTCTTCGCACCGAGGACGTCAAATACCGGGATGAAGACTCTGTCTCTCCCAGCAGCCAGGATGAGCTCTTGCGTTGAAGGGTTGACTTTGATTAGCACGAGTAGCCCTTTTTTGTTGAGCAACTTGCACTCGGTGTAAGAGAAGTCTTCAGTAGCATCCTGAAGTGAAGTATCTACGCAGGAGTCATTGACGCCAGGAAACCTACGAATTTGGTACGCTCAGAACGATAGGTCGTGTGCTTGCCTAGCACCGACGAGAATACACCGAGCTTCGAACCTCCTCCGAAGACCGGCATAGAAACCGGGAAAGAACTAAACTCTGAGCTCACATAGAATATGCATATGGTTTACTACACGTGTTGGTCACAATGTGAAAATTCTGAGGAAATTTTGGAATTTCCTCGTTGGGCTCTGTAGGTATCTATCCGAATTTGTATATAAATTTCGATAAGGATACTAATCTCGGCTGAGGAATACGATCATAAATTCCAACACTTGATTTCCGGGCGAGCGAGATCATAGGTACGCGCTGACCGTTTCTCGGGAGAGCATCACGAAATCTGTTGGCAGGTTGTAGTCGCTGAAGCCGCATCACGTCGGGTACGTGAGACATCAGGTAAAGTCTGAGGTCATATTCGCTGATGGGCATGAAGCCACGCTGAATGACTAGCAGTCCTATGTGCTGTCCCTGGAGTGCCCCGTCTAGTAGTAATGAGACTTGGTCGCATAGACTTCAGAAGTCTACGTAGGTTCTATTTTGAGAGCTCTCTGAACTTGTACTACACATGGTGTTCACAAATCAAACGATTACATTGATCAACTGTAGCAGCATGTCTCTGTCGCGATGGGCTCCTTCTTGGGACTTCACCACATTTACTGCAAGATATAATTGTGTTACTTGTCGGGATTGCGCAGTCGCCTTGCCTTTGACACAAAGCTTTCCCGTATTATACGACAGCGGCAGGATTCGAACCTGCGCAGGCAGAGCCTAGTGGATTTCTAGTCCACCTCCTTAACCACTCGGACACGCTGTCTGATTTATTTATTTGCTTTAACATACCTCGGATTGATTGGAATCCCGAAGCATCACAAGTTTCATTATGGTAGCAAAACTATTCAAGTCTTATAATATGAGACGATTATCAAACGTTACCAGACAACTTTTCTGGTGACGTTTGATAAACGTCTCACTTGATTGGTGGTTTCACACTACGGCTTGTTTGAGACATTTTGGTTGAGTAAATAATTTCGAATTGGTAAAAAGTCTCTCACCAGCGATTGTGTTGGCCCAATTGAATTGGTCCAATTCCTTGTGCTCCGATCTCAACACGTCTTATACTCCAAATGAGAAGATTGCTGCAAACGTGGTCACTGACATCACAACTTTTTCGTTCTCGCACTGTCCATGTCTATTGACGATATGTGATATTCAGCTGCATCTAGACTACCGCCTGTGGCGGTGAAACTGACAGCTTCTAACTTCCGCCCATCGCTCTTCCACTGAGCGTTAGCATTAGCCTCTTTTCGAATCGTTTTATCGCATAAAAAATGTACACACATATCCCCACAGTCAACAGTGACAATATGAGAATAACGGGAAATGTGTGATAACTCTCCTTGTTTTCCGTACACTTCACCCGATTTCGTATATGTGAGCTTCAATAATCAGTGAGGAAACTACCACCGAGCTCAGCTGAGGAAAGCAAACATACATCCCAGTGGGATGTATCCCACCACTGATGCCTTCCGAGCAGATTGAGTCAAGTCTCCAGGAAACACCGGAAATGCCCTACCACACCCCGCACATAACTTCAAAACACGACAAGGTTCACACACAAAGGTATATGGAATGATAAAACTACTATCTACGAAGACTATCAATGCTTTCTAAGCCTCGACAACAGCACGTGCACCAATCTCGACACCACCACAGAATTCGGCATCTCAAATGCCCAGTTGACAGTTGAAAATGACAACAACAAGAAATGCCCAGCTGCTATCGAGACGGCTCCTCAATCACCCACTGCAGCACCCAGATTGATTGCCATGAGCAGGCTGTCCCGGCCTACCACACCACCGTCAAATCGTCTCAACTGTAGCACTATTACCTAAGACGTGCAGGGCCGCCCGCACCCGATCGATTAGGCTGAGGCGTAGTCTTAACCCGTGACTTGATGCCTCTGGACATTTCAATGAATGCCTGTGAAAGATCAAAAATCATCGATTTTCGTAATTTTCAAGAATTCACCTGCTCAACGTTGTGCGAGTTTTTCGCAGAAGTTTCCAAAAAAGAAATTCCGAGCTGATCTGCCAACTCCTTACCCTCATCGTAGGTGACAACCTGACGATGACACGCACCAACAACATATAGAGAAAACAACAACTGTCGCTATCACTAATGCAAGAGTCAGTGTTAGAGGAATATATGTTCGCTTTCTCCAGCTGAGCTCAGGAGTGAACACAGTGTTGGAGTAGGAATATATGTTCGCTTTCTCCAGCTGAGCTCAGGAGTGAACACAGTGTTGGAGTAGGAATATATGTTCGCTTTCTCCAGCTGAGCTCAGGAGTGAACACAGTGTTGGAGTAGGAATATATGTTCGCTTTCCTCAGCTGAGCTCAGGAGTGAACACAGTGTTGGAGTAGGAATATATGTTCGCTTTCTCCAGCTGAGCTCAGGAGTGAACACAGTGTTGGAGTAGGAATATATGTTCGCTTTCTCCAGCTGAGCTCAGGAGTGAACACAGTGTTGGAGTAGGAATATATGTTCGCTTTCCTCGGCTGAGCTCAGGAGTGAACACAGTATTGGAGTAGGAATATATGTTTGCTTTCCTCAGCTGAGCTCAGGAGTGAACACAGTGTTGGAGTAGGAATATGTGTTTGCTTTCCTCAGCTGAGCTCAGGGGTTTCCTCACTAACTATACAAGTTCACAGAAACCAATAAGACTACCCAAAATTTTTATATTCTCACCAACACATTTCGCTGACCATGTGCATATTTTCCAACACTATGTAAAATACCTTTTTTGATGTGAGGTCACTCTTGTTGCCGACCAACAGCTTGCTGACATTCTCAGTCGCATATTTGTCAATTTCTTGCACCCAATGTTTAACATTGTTGAAGCTTTCACGATCCGTTACATCGTATCTGCACAAATACGGCGCGTGTCAATTTGATATGATGCAAATGTGTGTTATTTTCCGAGATCAGAAACTATATCGCATAAACAATGTAAGCATTGCTATGAACATGTGATGTGATAAAAGTAACCTTTCGAGACTATGATAGCGACAAGTTGTTCACTATCATTAATCCCGGAATAGTAAACACACATTCTTCACATAATATCAAATTCACACGTACTGTACTTGTATGAAATTCTTACACAATTATGATGCCGTGAGCTCCTCTATAGTAACTGGAAGTTATCGTTCTGAATCGCTCCTGGCCAGCCGTGTCCCACTGGAAAAAATAATCACCGTAAAAATTCCCTCTCTTCATATTATTACAATTTGCAATTTTATAGTTTTTCCATCAAGTTCAATGGTACGAATCTTAAAGTCAACCCCGATGGTCGAAATGTAAGATTCAGTATAAGTGTCGTCCTGAAATCACATTTGTGTTGAACTCTACCAATTGCATTCGTTTTCTTACAGCAAACCTCAGCAATAAACACGATTTCCCCACGCCTGAATCGCCGATCAACAACAACTTGAATAAGTAGTCGCTAAAAATGAACAAAAACGATCTCGTCCCTTTTGATACCGCAAAAAACCGAATTCCCATATGTCACCCTTGAGCGAAAGTATTGAACTTCTTGTCAAGCCACCGTTGGCGAAGCCTTGTACATATCTTATTGTCAAATAGAGGTTGATGATAACTCATACAAGCTGGAAAATTCTCAATATTTTTCCCATAAAAATCCACGAAAAATGAGACCCAAAAATTCCCATAGAATTATACGATACTCCCCGTCCCTATACTTACTATTCTGGGTTCATAATGGTTATAACACAATGATGAATGATAGCGTTAGATGTGACAACCTTGGTATCGGCTAGCGGAGCGATGCGCGATTGTGCAAATTTGACAAAAATGCCGCTTTAAATCTCGCTCGCCCACAAAAAAGCGCCCGGGGTTTGTTTTCAAATGTCAACCTCGATGTAAGGAGAAGTGTTGGAATACATTTTCGCTTTCCTCAGCTGAATTCTTCCTTGTCAAGTACAGAAGTCTACATACAAATGGACAGAAACCAATGAGAATTCCTCAGTATTTCCGCAAAAAGTCACTTCCGCATGTAGTTGACCATAAGCGTATTTTCCCACACCGCTGAGTGTCCCCCAAAAGGGGGGGGGCGTGTCCCGACAGCGATCCCTAGAAGCCTTAGGTAGAAGTAGATCACCAGTCGTGGGTTCAAATCCCAGTCTGATCATTTTGCCGAATTAACTTAGTGTGATGTTGCTCGCCCATGAGTTCATGAATGCTCTGCGTTGGGCTTATGATGATAACTAGTCTTGTTCCACAGTATGGCACCAGCCGCTAACGGCTCCGTCTCGGCTCATGAGGAGTGCTCTTGAAATTCAGAGGAGGTCTACTGAACACCCCGAATACTTGTACTTCGATGCAACTCAACTTCACTGCTGAATGCAGGAGAAACGGTATCGGAATAAACCATCTTTTCTAATGAAATAGTTTGTTTATTGTTTATCGACTATCAAGGCCTTGGCTCGGAGTTCACATTCCGATGCGTCATTGCGAGCATACCGCTCGGCTGAAGAAAAAGCGCCCGCGTAATAAGATACAGCTCACCTGATTCAATATCCCTCTCGGTGCTCTGAAAAAATTGAAGTGGTGATGCTACACTTTGCAAGAGCGATGGAAAAACACAAAAGAGGAAATTTGGGAGAGTGCTCATAGGTTTCTGTGCCCTTCTACCCGAATTCGTACGTAAACCTCAATCATTAGTGAGGAAGCTCAACTGAGCTCGGCTGAGGAAAGCGAACATATATCCCAACAATGTTCATGCTATCAATACCCAGACCATCGCTGGCCGACGAAATGCGGAGTCGGAGAACCAGGTTTCACCAACTCGCCAAGCTTGGTGATTTCGGGTCCTAATGAACTCTCGCCAACACGCTCAATCAAGGGATACGATCGCTTCTGGACCATATTTCACCTCTTTGGCATCAACACCTAACGAATTTCACCGAGATGTGGCGGAAACTGGTTGAGGTAATCCGTAGTTTCGTTCGCCCAAATGATCTATTACGTTCTGTGCGCACGGTTACAGCAACTTGGTATTGGTGTAACATGCCAGTGGCTCAGATATTGCCACAAAACTTGGTGAACTTATCGGTATTTGCCAAGTACGTGTCGTAAAATGCCGATATCTTGGTATAATCATTTGTTTATGAAGATTAGACCATCTTTGGCGATGTCCGCCTTTTATCGATCACGGTTGGTATATTCCCGAGTCGGTGTCGAATATCGCCAGGTTATTTGTTCAAATCTGGTTTTGTGACAGGCTTTCGCCACAACTTTGTGATGATTCCTGTCCAGCGAAAGCCGTATCAGGGCCGCATACTGCCAAGCTGGCTGTAACCGCACATAATGTTCGGTTAAATCCAGCTTGGCAGTATCAAGGGTGAATTCACTTACATCACTGAAGTGTGCCGCACACTTCAGTGACTCTGATTATGATTATCATGTGACATGATTCACAAGACATGGTTCATGTCCTGTGGTTGGGCGATAGAGCGGTCGAGTACAGGAAAGTTCGCGCGGGGAACCCAGGATCTACTCCCATGAAATGTTAGCACACTTCGTTCACCTTTACGACTCAACACTAATAGTTATGGATTTCTTTCACAGAGATAGTATCGTCTCCTTATCCCGTCATTCGATATTGTTATTGCACATTGTACCGCACGCTACACTATCTGAACGCAAGTCGTATTAAGTATATGGAGAGCTCAAACATAGAAGAAACTTTTCACATTATCTTCACTTTGCTATCGTAGGCTTCTCGTGATACCTGATAACACTGATCGAGATACTCCACAGAGCATGCTGAACTTTCCGGTTTACTTCCCAAAAAAGTACTCGGAGCGAATACGGATAAAACCGCGATGAGTCGGACACCATCTAAGAGATCAGTCTCCGACCGAATACGACTGCTAACTAACATACGGACACTATCTATTAGATTAGCCGTGGCGCAAATACGAATGACAGCTCACATAAAGGACGCAATCTATTGGATTAGAGCGACGAACCTCAAGCACTGTTCGTAGTACTGACAGTGCTTGAGGTACTTGAGGACCTCAAGTTGAGGTGGTGATATTCCGCGTGATTGTCAGTATTACTGACAATCATGCGGAAGATCACCGTGAGGACAGAGCCGTTGGCAAAGGTATTCACTCGACCTGGCCGAATTAATTCTTTGCCAAGTTTGCCGAGACGGCCAAACTCAACGAGGAGGTTGAACAACGTCATATGACCTTGTATGAATCGGTCAGTGATCTCCGATCGTCGTATCTACATAGAGATCCTTCTTTTCGATGGAATGCTCCGACCAAAGCTCGAGTTCCATAATTCATCGACATCGATGGTAAGGCAATGAGTGTGTTATGCACAACGGCGGTGATCGATAGCCGCAAGCAAGTTAGATTCCCAGTTATTGTAGGTGAGCGCTGCGCGTAACGACTGGATGAGTTTCCAACTTTCCCTGAAATCCTAGAACGAACCGTACGACGAACACATTCCTTAATCTTCAAAACTTTCTTAATGGGGATCCGTTGACCCGAGAATCGGGTCCCGATTCGGAACTCCCGAATGATCAACGACTTCCTTCGAGCTTTTGCGGCAAGAGTCTTGCCACTACGAGTCAATACCATCGTGACCGTTTAGCACAATGCCTAACGCGTATACAATACCGTAACTAATCCCTGACTAAGATACCGTTCAGAAGAAACTTAGCCACTAGCGAATGATACACCTCAAATCACAGTAAATCACTCATCACTAATCGTTGGACCTGGGCTCAGGTCTAACGTAGGCAAAGGAGTTAAGTTAATAATTTCGATTATTTCAATTGGCTCACTTACAGACGCCTATTGATTAGACCCTAATCCTAGGGTTCACGCACCCCAAGGAACAGCACTCATGCACAAATCTGTGACGCGAATCATGTAGGCTAGCCGCTCGCACAATAGACAGCATAGACCAAACAGCAAATATCGTAGCAGAAAAGTACAGTAAATACCATATTACAAGACACAAATGAACCATAACAGTCAACAGATCTCCGTGCACTGCGCCGAACCGTACAGTGCTCAACAGAATACCAGTGGCTCTGATCATCACCGTCATCATGGCCCATCATTGATGGCAAATTGCCATTGGTAATGGTTGTGCTCACTGCCAGTGAGTCACTGGAGCGGTAGGGGTCGTGAACATCATCATTGTGATGACAAGCCAGTAGTGGCGTTCATGGGACTGGTGGATCGGAGATGATGCTCAATGGCATCAGCACTTGATGGCATCAAGCTCCGATCCACCAATCCCTGCTGGAGCCGACCAGTATAATATACCGATACTATCGGTCCGATAGGATATAAGAGACGGTCTCTTAGAGACCAATTGAAACCGAGAAATTCTACACCTGAGAGAAGCAGAGCGACCTCAGATCGCGTCCAGAAATTGTAGCACCTCATGCTCCCGACCGCAAAGCGGCCGGAGTAGTAAGCAATTAATTCACGGCGTGAATTGGCCCCTCGCTCCATTACCATCATCTATAGAAGTGGACCAACGTTGAGACTTGATATAATGATCTTGTACAAACTCCAATGACTAGTGTATGACCTCACCCTCGGAGACACTGGCTAGAAGGGGGTCTCGTTCTCGAAAGACAAGACCAGCGCAAACTAACATTATCAAACCATCACTAGGTCGCCCCCTGGTCTGCATCCGGGTGGCCTCTTGTTAGACTACATGATAACCGGTCACAATATTAGATGGACAGGCTGAGGTATGCATAGTTCCTTGAAGGCACATTACGTCGGGGCATACTAGATGATGAGAGATGATGAAGAAAGGCCACATATAATATATGTCATATATTAAGGGACATGATCGTATACGACCTTCTCCGTTTCCGAAGAGGCCTGCCTGCTGGACGACGTCTCCTTCTGCAAAGCATCCCCCGTATACGTGCCAGACGAGGGCTAACAAGGGTAGGTCTTCGCCTTCGGTTGCCCGAATTTCGAGTCATCTTACGGTGGCCTCTACCACGCGACGTAGACGCATTCGGGTTCATGTGGGAGTGCTGGACACCACCGATTTGGTGGCACCAAAACAGGCATGTGCTCATGCGTGCCCCATAAAAATGAGAGTCGATAGCCAGGGCGCGCGCTGGTCGACCCATATTTCGCAACCCTAAAATCACCTACTTGGCAATTCTTGTGCAGAAGACCAACTTGGCGGGACCTGTCTATGTGCAGTTATTGCCAATACTGAAGTTGGCGGAATGAGAACAACACGCAGATTGCTGCACATCTGTTGAATTTTGCAGAATCCCCCAAATCTTAGTCCAAATCAGTTGTAGAGTAACGTATTTCATCACATTGTTGTAATCTGTTCCAGCACTGGTATCACCTATAATTCCTGTCATTAGGCCTGCGAATCTGTTTGGCGTCATTTTGGCGATTTCTGAGTTGGCGAAATCTGATACAGCCGGAGTCGGAGTGTTCCGAGAAATTTCGCGCGCCACGAAATTCAACACAACATCGATCTTCAGCATGAACTCTTCATCGCCGTTCATAAATAGACAAATCTCCCATCGTGAAGGGCAGAGGAGCCACGCGCCTCGGCTGTCGATCCGCCACGAACGACCCCTGAAAAAAATTTCCCAATAACAAAAACCACACCAGACCGATTCCTGTACATCATCTCGCAATGTCTTGACTGACTGTGCCGTGCGTAACAGTGATTTCTCCCATACCCGCGGTGAGTCTTCGGCGACAGCTCGAATGGAAGTCCGCGATGACCGACCAGTGACTCCAGATGCTTCACGCCTTCAAACAAATTTTCTATTTCCTTTGAAACCGCCGACGCAGGAACTTACTCTAGTCGTCGTGGTGATGGCGGTATGGCAAATTTCTTCCGCATTTCACTTAGTTTCATCTCAACAGACGAATCTGTGAATATACGTTCGCTTTCTTCAACTGAGCTCAGGAGTTTCCTCATTAATTGTAGAAATTCACGTATAAATTCCAATGGGTGTGCAAGTTTCCTTACTAATTATAGAAGTTAGCATGCGGATTTTCGGGTGAATGTGTACAGAATTTCCCAGAATTCCCCCACAATGTTAATATTGTCACCAACACACATAGTTGATCATGTGCTTAGTTTCCCACACACACGTTCTTACCAACGCTTCTATCTTCAGGAGCATTACGACAGCCCTGTGATGCATGAGCCGTCGAAGTCGATCGCGGTGTCTGATATTAATCTCCTTTCCCTCACCCCGATTCCTTTTACAGTAGATTCACTGCTGCATGGTATTCTCACAGACCCTCGCATTGTCGGAGGTTTGTTCATCACCACCGCGGGAATTCCATCAGTCTGAGTGAGAGAAAAACTCTCAACGGAGCAGCACAAGCAGCTCGCCAACTTCCGATTTCTCCTTCGCTACTGCCTCCTTGAGGTGCCTTGTAGCTCTGAGTGCCGCTGATAGCATTGATCGTACATGAAAGCAAATACTCCTCCTGCAGTGCATGATATTCAAATGTGCATTTTCTATTCCGGGATTAATGATAGTGAACAACTTGTCGCTATCATAGTCTCGAAAGGTTACTTTTATCACATCACATGTCCATCGCAACATTCACATTGTTTATGCGATATAGTTTCAGACCGATTCTTATTAATCTCGGAAAATAACATGCATTTACACGTCAAATTGACCCGCACTGCACACGAAAAACTCCCAGACGTACTTTATTGAGATCATCGATCTCCTTGTTCCCCATTTCAGAGAGCTGCCGGTCATCGTGAGTACTATCATCATCCATCTTCAAATGTCGTAGTTGATTTGTCTACACTCCACCACAAGACGTGTAACGTAACAAAGTAAATCACATCAGATTTACACAGTTTCGACTTCGGGTAGAAGTGTAAAGAAACAGACTAGAAATTTCCCAAATTTCCTCACAGTTCTCATTTATTCTCACCAACGCACGTAGTTGACCACATACATATTTCGCCACGCTCTACTACACCGCCTGGCACTACCAAGTTATCATAAGCAGCCTCGTTCGAGCAAGGCCAGCAAACCACACCAGTCCACGGCCCAGGTGCGGAGGTAGAGGGCTCTGGCAGCAACTCCCAGGTGATTCGTAGAACACCAGGAAAGGGAGATAGCGTCATGAGGAATGTTTGATCGATATAGCAATACTGTCAATATAGTCCTATCGATAGATCCGTTCGCTATAGTATAACAAAGTATATCGAATACAGCTATTAATATAGCACTACTCTCCAGCACTACTGTCAACAAACCGCCTGATTGACAACACAACCCCAAGGCTCGCCATCTGGAATCCCATCTTCTGCCTTCTTATCATCCGCAGCAGTGTAAGTGTGTATATCAAGGAGGACCAGACATTGCGTCTAATCCCGATCTGCTTCATAACTCGTTATCCTAAGCCTCTGACTCTAGTTGATGATGGTAGTCGAGAAAAATACAATAAAGCCCCTCTACCTTTGTCGAGCACCAACTGAGCGTAGGGATTAGTCCCGCCAAATGAATTGATATTATCAATGTAATTGACTATTTTGCTTATCTTATCAAATTGATAAGATAAGCAGAATAGTGACGAAGATTATCAGGCAGTTTGGTGTTGTTGTTGCCGACTGCCAAATTGAGCTTCTCTGCTACCGGACTGGTAGTACCAGTGAAGAATAGTCAACGAGACAAGAGTCGTAAACAGAAGATCGACATATGGTTCGAGGCTAAACTTGTTACGATATGAATCAGATCATCTAAGAGGCATTGGATGGCTTGGTTGATCGTAGGAGTAAGGCATTGTCTCACGTGGAATCGCAACTCAATTCGACCTTCAAAAATATTAATTTCACATTCCGCGAATTTTCATGAAATTTCGTGAAATATTTCGACATGAAATTTCACGAGTCAGATTTCACTGAGATGCATAACCCTGCTCCAGCCGATACACCGTGCATTTTACCATAAGTCGACTCGACGCCATTTCTTCCACGAGTAGGGTATCGCACCCGTTCGATACCGTTTCCCATGAATATTAATAAAATTCGACTGCTAGAAAGGCGCCCAAGACGCTCAACAAAATCACGCGGATATATTGACAATTCAACAATACATATAATGTGTGAGGGAAAAGAGCCCAGTCAATGAACAATTGAGTTTACACTGTCCTGTGCAGAATCGTCATGTGCTATGAGATTATCAGAAGTCATAACGATCACGCTGATGCATATATACCATAACTAACCATCAATATACCCCCCTCCTCCTTCAGCCAGAAATCCCGATGATATCGTGAAGACCATCAATCAACTACTACACCGATTACGCCATTGTATTATAGACACTTCAAAACACCCGCCCCTGAAAACACTGTCGCATCCCGAGTCGCATCTACTAAAGGCCCTTTTACGGCCTCTAGTAAGTATCTGAAGAGTCGCAGATAAGAAGACTTTTCGAAGAGGTCCACGACTCCTAGTATATCCCATGTTAATCTCCAGATATTAGACCTAAAGAATTAGATATAAGAAGGCGAACTGAACCGATATTACCACGTTTTTCGCGAGCAGCGTCCGACTCTCTGCTCGAACTGCACGTACTCTTATTGGATTCTGGGCTATGAGCCTGCAAACCAGGTTGTGATACGAGTATCTCTCACAGAATACTGATGGCAACAAACATTCGCTCCTCACCTCATGCTCTAATAGAGCATGAGCAGCTCTATCTCTGACCTCGTCCTCGGCTTACATTCGAACGAGGGAGCCGTATGAAGTAGAGCGAATCTACATCCCACCGCCAAACTCTGGCACGCCTCTTTGGGTCTGTGTATGACAGATTCCTCCAGTATCCGGGTAATGTCAGTCCTCATCATATCGGCATCGAACCACAAGGCCTTTCCGAGGACGTAATGTCCTCGGAGTCGAGGCGTGTAAGACGGGCACCAAGATCCTTGTGCCCGTCTTTGTCAAAGATGCCGTAGGTTATGAATTAAAGTCCGGAAAGAGGCATGTGTAGGAGAAACACTAAACTTGACTCAATCTATAGCCCTGATCACATGACGCAACCTTAGAAAGAACTTCCTCTTTCAAAGAAGGAATTCTCCATCCTTGATCAGAGGCATTATGCCTCAGGCATATCGGCTGTGAGATCCTCGAACGAGGTAACAAATCATACAGTACCGAATTCTAGGCCACCCAGCTTATCTAATACGCTTACTAACGCTTACTCTACACAGCGTGGCAAAAGAGTCGAATGCGATCTGTTGAAACTCTTAGACAATCACAGAACGAGTTCTTCGGGAAGGTATCCTCGATAAATAATCCGCAAGTTGCATACGCTAAGCCGATGAGGCGCGCCGGAAGGTCTCTGAACCGGTCGCGTCTTACGTGACGTAAGTTACGTCAAAGGTCCACCATAACCAAAAATATTCGAGGACCGCTTCTGACCGGGGGCGAATTAGGATTGCTCCAGGTCATATCCACTATAGATGTCCGCGATGACTATGGCTGAAAGCGCTAATGCTACAATGTTACTAGCACAATGCTACACTAAACTTACAGTATTCACAATACAGCTTTTGGTGACGGAGAATCTCCCCAGCACTACCTAGGCCTAGCCTAGGCTGGGCCTAGGCTACAGCCTGTAGCTGATCATTTCGTCCACTAGGAGAAGGAGGTCCACCGCTCAACGCGTAAGTGCAATCTACGGATGAGAGGATTCCGAAGAATGCGGAACTGATGCATATGGTTGGGGAGTGTCGCACGGAGTTCAAATGGAGAGACTCTCCTGACACGAATTGGGACTCATTCCCAATACCAATCGAGTTACATCCTTGGCAGCGATCCCACCACTCCCAAATAACACTGAATGAAAACCTTGTCAAATGCCTGAAACCTCGTTAATAGTGATACATAGTTTCGGGACGGTCAACACTCAACTTTTCAGTTGTACAGCACCGGCATCGTGAACGAATGAGCCTAGTGGATCCGAGGCGACCGATACCAACAAATACACTATTTACAAGTAAACGAGATATCGAGGCACAACGCTCCTCACAGTGAAGTGTGCACTTCAAGTGCAGCACGTGGAGGTAGCATGATGTGAGATACTATCCACAGTACGGAAGTGGCTTATGCGAGCCACGAGCGCTGAATGATAATTTAACACTAAACTAGGAACTATCCTTGCGAACACACTTTAGGAACTTGATAGAAACGTTATTCGCAGATTATTGTGAAATTTAAAGGATGCCATCCTTAGGATGAGGAATAGAACAGAAACCAGCACAACGTCTCAAATCTTGACGCTGACCGAGGCTTTCAAATACGCCCCTTGATGAGATGCTCGTAATAATAAATACTGAGCTGGTAACCGAGAACTTAGAAGTACACAGGACTGGCATGCCAGATCTCCCAGCGCCAGTGCCAGTCGTTCTTATAGAACAGGACATTTACCCAGGCGTTTAGATTCACACCAGAGAAGAACTGCCACTTGTTGGGCAAGTTATCCATAGTGTTGCCCTTAATATCGATCGAGACTCCGGCACCAGCAATCCAAAGAGAGACGCTGGTTCCAATCTCACCGTAGGCAGTAATTACATTGTTCGGTTTCGCAGTACAGCCAACCTTAGCCCATACCTTCCAATTAATGATAGAGCCAGCAACAGGTACATTCACGTTGAAAGTGACACTGATCTCTATTTCGGCTTTGAAAGTACGCTTGTCGGGCTGCAGCAAGTCCTCCCCAGAGACGCTTCCAGAAATACAAACGACGATATTGAGGCTGAAACCCTCGCCGTACTGCCAGACAATTGCACACCCCTCAGCTTTGACGCTAAGGTTGAGTACGGGAGCACCATCGGACTTTCCTATTTCGATAGACAATGTCAATGAAGCGGACTTCTTGTCATCAGTCACGTCTACGAAAGTCACTCCGGCATTGAGAGAGAACTTCTCCATAGTGGCGTCGGCAGAGACAAAGAGGCAATACCTTTGCACTTGCTTGCCCTCATCGTTTCTGCAGCTCTTGGGGAATTCGAACTTCACGAGTTCAACCATCCGCCTATTGTACTCGGTGTGGAAGAAGGTATCGGCAGCGGATCCCTTGGGAATGTCGAAGTACATCACGCCGGCCTTCGCACCGGACAAGCCTCTACGAAGCCTGCGGGACTTCAGCCAGTCGACTTCTTCCGCATCTTCGAAGAAGGTACGCTCATCTTCGGCAATGAAGGTGGCGGTGACATAATCGAGATTGACCGGGGGAGCATCACCATCACCCTCTCCCAAACGGCGGGAACTGGTGATCTGATAGGTCGTATGCATCTCCTTCTCGGCTTCAGCGACGCCCATGGCATCATCGAGCGCCTCGTGGTTGGAGTACTCGGTCTCCTGGAGAGTTTTGCCGTTGAAGCTGTTCATACCAACAAGTTTCACCGGATTCTCATCGTTGGAATCGGTATAGAAAACCCAGTGGTCAGGGTACATACCCGTCTGATAAAGAGCCGTGTAGTTTGCCTTGGTGCTTGCATCGACTCCCTGAGGACCCCACTTGGTGTATTTGTGAACGGTAGCACCATTGAGGGTGGTGGTGCCTTCGGACGTCCACCCATCCTCCTTGAGGCTTCCAGGGGCTTTGGCCGCACCGAGAAGGCGCACAGATTCCGGCTCTTGCTTGGTCTCAGATATTGTGATAGCCTGATTCTTGTAAAGCTGATCGATACGCTTGGTCTTGGGGCTTTCAACAGTCATAAGGAACTGATAGGGACGACTCGGCATCGCCTTAACCCTGACGAGACCATCCTTAGCGACTATCATATCCTCCCTAATAGTGACAGAGCCATCCTCCATACCAGGGAGGGTGAGGCCATAAGTCTCCATTGCCATGGATTTACCACATGGAGCGGGGTTGTTGTGCACGTCCTTGACATCTGGATTACAGATAGACCTAGTTGACATATGCATACGTACGTTGCCTGGCTTGAAAGCCAGAGTATCGCCGATGAAGGCGACAAGGAACAGGAGTGTAGATAACATAAGGAATCAAATAATGAGAGAGTTGTAAACCTAAATGCCAACTCACAAGCCCTCAGTCTGTCGAAAAGCGTAGACCACTTGTGATCCGCCCTCAACCAGTCGGAAAGGACGAGGGCTAGCTTACAATCTCTAAGTTCATGCGCACGCGAAGGCAATCATGACCACAAAAGTTCTCAAAACCATCTGCATAGCTCAATTCATGGCCCGCACGCACGCGCAAAATTAATACTCACTGTTCAGTGAGTATCTTCGCTGTTCCGAGTCAGAATCTAGTAAAGACAGACTTCTAGACTTGCCCTGTTCTCTTTACATACTCTTCCGCTCGGAAGTTCGACATTCTGATCGATTTACAATGAGTTGCTTCAAGCGATTTCCCTTGAGGGAGAATTCACGCGCGCACAACACGCATGTGCATCTGCGGGATGCGACAGTTTCCCGACGAGTTGTTGACGACAATCTGGGGCCTATTTCACAAGCCCACATAAGGAGCAAAAATTGTAAGGTACCTTACGGTTTCATGGCAAGTCGCTTTCACATCCTTACGATTTGGGGGGCTGGCGTAAGGTAAGGTGGCATAAGGCTCCTCACCGTAAGGCTCCTTACCCTACAAGGTGCAAGGAGGGCCTCCTCATGTAAGGCGATTTCATAGGAGGCATTTTTGGGCCCCTCCTTGCGATCCTTACGTAAGGTGCCGTAAGACTGCTCGGGGGGTACTTTATGCACCTTATCGCACCCTCCTTACCATTTTATGCGAGCTCCGCTCCGCTTATTCCCGATAGCCCGCGCGTCTCACCCGCGGATGATCTATCCCTGAACCGTGCATTTTTACCGCATATTCGACTTGGCGTATAACAAATATCGACAACGGCCGATTGTTCACAAATAAGCTCATGATAGTGTTGTTGAGTTTGTGGTAGAAATAACCATACCCTCATTTTCGGATTCTGACCTGGATATCTTCGTATCTTTAGTAAAGATACGAAGATATCCAGTAAAGATTCTTTACTAGAAGAGTGGGCAGAGACCTTATTCACGAAGGTAAACAACACCATTACTGTATCGTACAAGGGGCAATATCACAGTGTTCATTCAAGTTTTCCGCGTCCATAGTAGTAGTTGTACGGGTCAGTGCAAACGGCTTACAATAGCCCTCTTGAGAGAACTCTATTGAAGCACTGTGTGACACAGTCTGTGTCGATTTTTTGATGCGCGTCGGTACGGGTTTAGGTGCCCCTCGTGCTCCTTATTGGGGTTCACGAGGTGCACCTTAAATTTAGGCGCATAAGGAGCATGAGGAGCAACTGAAGTGAAAGCACCTCGAGTAAGGTGTAAGGCTCCTTGCTCCTTGCTCCTAAATTCAAGGTGCACCTTAAGGAGCGTTTCTTGTGAAATAGGCCCCTGGAATCTGGGTTCTAGCATAGATAGATATCCTGAATAGATGTTCTAGATGGAGATACCCAGATCCTGGACTCTCCTAGCCTCAATCATGCTAGGAGAGCCTCCTAAGGGGACATGTTCGACGTGGAGCCGTATGTGGATCCTGATATTCAGGCTGATACAGATTATTAAAAATCAAACGCCTGCTTGCGTGAGTCCGGTAGGGAGGTTTCGAATGAACCGACCCTAGAAGTACCGATGAGGGAAAGTCTTTCACGGAAAGACATTCAGGGACAGACTCTGAG